ATTTTGTCGATTATCTGACGCTTTAATTGAAATCAAATTTGGTTGAGGCCTTTCCAGAGTTTTAATAATGTAAAATTTATTATCATAAGATAAAGACCTAAAATGATTTGTCAGCAACCAATCGACTATATCATCAGATTTTTTAATTTCGTCCAACTTATCCATAATAAATGGGAAAAAAAACTTACCGAAAAATGAAAACCTGAAAACACCTTGAAATTGAAAGAAAACACTTTGAAAACACATTAAAAATATTACCAAAAAGCACTGCTATAATACAATACTGCCTGTTTTATACACAAATATTATCAAGAAACACTAAAACGATTTACCGAAATATTTTTCAGTCCGTCACGACATCCCGTCCGAACAATTAAATCAAAAACAAACGCAGTCGTACAACTGGAGGCTAGCCTCCTCTAACGCTATAATTTCTGCAACTAAAATTACAAATCGGGACGTATGTCGCTGGCTGGATCGGTCTCGCGGAGCTTGTGTTCTTTAAAGCGGTTGGAGGCTTGGCTCCCTTGCAACGTATGGCATTTATTATTTTGGGTTGATGGTTTCTTCGTTATTCGTTCGTGGGTGGGCGGTGTGTTTGAGGTTTGTTGATGCAGGATACAGTGTGGTACGTACTACGTAGTGAGTGATAGTGTTTTTCGGGCATATTATGTTTTTATATAAAACATTAATGGTAAAGTAATTGTCAATATCTTTTAACTTATTGCGATGAAGAGCCTCAAATTTTATGAGGAGGCTAAGCCCACTATGTCTCTTCTGACCAGCTGCCGCTGTTAAGAACCTAAGCAGATTGCAAATACTTGTATGTTCGGGGATAACGGGAGCAATGAAAACCACTCAATAGCTATTTCGGAGTCACTCCTGAATCTTCCTCCTTTACATTTTATAATAATGGAGGGAACAAGGGTGGGAAAATTCAGATTGAAACACCCAAGCCACATGGAATCAGAGCAAAACAAAAATTTTAAAATATGTGGAGGAATGAACAATAAATATGTTCTCGGACCACATGACACCAAAATACATGATCGACACAAACTTTGCAGGCCGCCAGGCTGCATTTGAGGCACTGATGAGAAGACTTATGCAAATGTGACTTCATCGAGATTGGTATAGGGCTAGGAAATAGACTATATAATAGGTGTCAGGACACACAGGTACCACAGGCAACGAAAAAGTTGATGAGTTTGCTAGACATGTATCCTCAACTTCATATATAGGCCCTGAACAAGCTGTGAGTGTACCAAAATCTTTAGACCGGAACCAGAACACTATTACAAACAAAGAGTACGTACATATGAGAAAACACAAACTGAAATTACAGACCCTCTCACTGGACACTATTGTCTATCTTTGTTTGAAGGTGGTTGACAATGTTTCATGGTGTATATCATTAGTTCGGACTTCCATTGTCTAATTATTTTTTGATTTCTTGTTTGATGCTAATATTTTATTTCATTGTAATTTCAGTGTTTTTGCTTAATATAATTTTTTTCAGCTAATCTCTTTTGGAAGTCCGAACTAATGATATACACTATTGTCAACGTTGTACAGTCCTATTTGGTCAATTGGACTATTCAACGGAGACTTATACTGCAGGCAATGCAACAAAGAGGCAAAAAGGCAGGGACATCGCATCATATTTTATGCGATTATGAGACACAAAGTTGGGAGTAAATGCAATAAGCCCATACTGCTGCAATTTTTTTCAGAGACTTGAAAGAAATGGACAAGGCAGGCGGCTCCCAGTTGGAAATAAAAATAAAGACCTAAACAAGACTCTATAAATTTAGAAGACCTGAAGAGCTATCAGAATCACACAAGTATGTTATGCGATTTTTTGTACTTTCTAGTTATGAATCTTTTTTCGGCTCCTGCTTTGGAGCCATTTTCAAGAATCACTTAGATTTGTTTACAACAACTCGAGTCATGTTTACTGCCAAATTATGAATCATATTTGCCCCATAACATAAATGAACATCTCACAGATGCCGGTCATATAATCACATAATTTAAAATCATTTCATGAAAAATCAAAATAGTTCTTTTTGCATTTTAATATGATGGTTTTCCATATGACATTAAAATGTCGCCATTTTGGATTACTGATAACTTTCACTCCAAAATGTTAACTTATAATTTTTGCAATGATACGTGAATTAAACTTTCCGTTTTTCATAACATTTTAAATACATTAGTAAAAATACAAGTTTTTCATTGACTGAAAAAATACGTTTATTCATGAGCTTCAAAAAATATCATGGGATATGTGATTTACTTCTGATTTTTAGTATTTTATCAATTATTTCAATCTCGAAAAAAATTATGTAAAATATAAGACGTTTAAAAAAGGAGCAACCAATTGGTTTTTTTCACATTCCTTCAAAATGGACTTGAACAAATGTTATTTTGAATTACTTATAACTTTCATCTCCAAGTGTTTGTTAATTTTCAGTTTGAATACGAAATTAANAAAGTAGCTGTTTCAGGAGGACTTTCTTTCAGTTTGTGTCTGAAAGTTACTTCTTTGCATGATCTACACATCCATGTATAGAGTTACTTATTTTCAAATTGATTAATCCTTCCTTTCTTTGGAAGATTCTCTCATCCATTTTTTTTGTATCAGATGGAGTAGTAGAAAGCCAAAAACTTTTTTTCGTTAATTTATAATTCACAAATGAGTTTTATGTACAATGTTATCCACACAAGGCAAAGTGGAAATCGTTCTTTTGTGTGGTGAGAATGTGCCATATCGAGATGTTGCTTGTATTTTCAATCACCGGCATCCAGGAAGAAATATTCACTTTAGTACCGTGGGAAAGATATTGAGAAAATTCAAAAAAACTGGCTCTATAAACAATCGTTTCAAGAAACCACATAATACAATAAAGTATAATGAAGAACAACTCAATGTTTGTTTCAGCGTTGTTAAAACGGAAAAAGTAATATTGGGAGTATTAGTGAAGATATGGGGGTTGGCAAAAAAACTGTAAAAAAAAATATTTTCAGATCTCAGAGCCCGATGCAAACTGGCGTCAAAAATTTACAACAGACGAAAAATTACTGTACTATGTACAGATATTATTTCTGCAGTACTATGACTATGGGGATTATATCTATAAGAATGGAAATGACATTGTTAATGTATTTGCAGACCAGTTTCAATCAGTTTATTTCCATACTCTCCAACAGGTTAAGTTTCAAACCTTTCTTCTGGAAATGGAGGGGTTTGAATTCATGGTTGAAATCATGTCCCTCTGTTATTAAATGAGTGGCATATGTGGAATATATTTTTCCTTTCTATAAAATATTTTTGTGTTCCTTTATGCCGGCTTTGAACGTTCTTCCAGTTTGACCTATATCAAACATGCCTAAGTTGTTGGTTTTGAAAGCAATATTTTCATCTTTGTTGTGTAGAAACTTTAGGGCATTTCTGGTCTGCTAGGAATATGTACAATTCGTCCATTTTGTTTCGAATTGATTGTATATTTAGACACAGAAAGTTAAGATGTTACTGATCAGTGATTATTTGCTTATTTATAAAGAAGAAGCATTATTAATATTTGGCAGTGAAATATCATGTTGAGAATGCAGTGGTGTCTGAAACTTGAAATCTTCATCTTCACCCATAGGCTACGTATCTCTGTATAGGTGGAAACACATCACTCTTGACTCTCATGTGAATCTACGATTTTGTAAGTACGTGTGGCAGATACCCGGCAGAAAAACAACAACTAACCTGACTAATGCCGCACTGAAAGCTGAAATAAAACCATCAGGTACTCACGTACTCAGTATGTGATAGTGAAAAAAGGTGTCATTTTTGGTATTTTTATTAAGTTCCTGAAATAGTCAATTTGTTGACTTTCAATGACTGTGTCTTCAAAATCAGATTGCTGTGCCACGTTTTGATTTTAGATTTGTGATCAGCGAACAAAAATACATAAGAACCATTCATTCAGTTTTTCTTGTATATCTGAAATTTTAAAGTCGGCTAGTCGTGTGTATTTGTATGTGTAAATAAAACTGTTTTTAGTGGGAAAAAAAAAGTGTATAAACATCAAACTTATATCAATGTGTAGAGGAAAGTGTAAACTCCACGTTTAGAATGCAGTTATTAACCCACAATGATTGGATAAGAAGAAAATTTTAGCCGTTATATACTGAATTGTTGATAGAATAAATGTTTCAAGGCAAAAAATACTACATTCCTAATATACATACACAATCTTGAAGGGATTTCTCGGAACTCTTGAGCCTGTAATTCAAAATTTCCCGGATTGGAGAAAAAATCCTTCAGCTGTCTGATTTCTTTACCAGACTCGAGTAACTCTGTATGAAGTTCCAAGGCAGTGAGCAAAAGACGGTCTTGCAATAACTTTGTTGCAATATCATTGTATGTTACTCCCTTTTCAACTATTTTTGAATTTTCATCACAGCTTTGTCTTGTTTCGGGAAACGTTGACATTTTAAAGAGTTTCAACGTTGCAAAATTCACTAATTGAAATTCGGCCTAGAAAAATTAGTTATATTGTTATTTGTTGTTTTTCAGTTTATACATAACCTCCACTCCTCGACATAATAACAAAATTTTATGGCGTATTCCATTGGTAAAACCCGAGCAACAATAGTGTATCATCTTTCATTTCTCAATACGTTCATGACGGATAGAAATACACTATCACTATCATTGACCAGAAAAATATATTTATGAATACATCAAATAATGATTTTCAATAAATTTTAGTTTCATACAACCAAATTGTAGTATTATAGAATCATATGACCTGATTTCGAGAAAGCCGTTACTTCGAAAAACATTTTTATGGACAAAACACAAGCACTACAGGAAAATCCTTAAGGCGCTTCAAGAGTGGTGCACGTTCGAAAGTAGTGATTCACATTGGATCTGAATCGCTGTAGATTAAATCCATTTGGAAAAACATTCCCAGGAAGTTTATTCCACTCGGGCGCACTTCTTCAAATGAAAGAATTCTTAAATAGTGAAGTTCGAGGTGTACTGATTTGAACCTCAAAACGATGAGCAGCTACAGTCCGTTGCATATTTTTGATATGTACCGCTCTTGGTGGAATCAAATGTGCCAAGTCACTTGAACACTTTCCGTGAAAGTATCTATAGAAGAGAGAAAAATCTCCAATCTTTTTTCCCTGTCCCAGACTATCAAAGTTGCAAGTGATGTTCGCGTCTCTAATCAGGCGAATGACCCTTTTCTGGATGGAATCTAGCAGCTTCAGGGCATGCTTAGGGGCGGAGCTCCATACCATGAGAACAATACTCCAAAGAAGGTCTGATGTGAGCTTTATAAAACATCAACAGTTGTTGAGGTGTGTCAGTTCATAGTCGGTTTTCATATCAATATCTTTTATTTATGATAATTGGTCAAAATATAAAAAATTAACACGGTCAGGAATACGAAAAATTTTATGAAAGTGCATGTTATCAACGGGACGATATTTTTTTGCAAACATGTACAAGAAAATTCACTTCGCAAGCACCTCAATCTGCGAAGGAATTAAGATGTACTGAATGGAATCTCTGAACAAGAGATGAGTGCAATTTTAAACTGTTAACAGATATAGTTATATAACCAACTTGGGCGAAAAGTTCAAATTGTAATGTTTCATAAATTGGAAGATATTTAAGCAGAAATGCTGTATCTTGGATCTGTTCGTCTTCTCTTGGTTGCTTCATGTGAGGCTGCTGCCTTTAACCTCAAGTTATACTCATGATTGAAGAGAGAGGGAGGAAAAAATTAAATGTCAAAATGTCACGTCATGTTATTACTAGAGGAGGAAGGATTTTTGGATTTTATTTGTATATATTTTTGTGTTCACTTTGTTTTAGTAATGTTATGAATTAGATTACCCAAAAATTTCGACTTGGAAATGTAATGGTTGTTCGACAAATTGATAATTATTTTTGAAAAAAGGTAAGTTACTTACGTGAGAATATTATCTACAAATACTTGCCCATTCGATTCCTCAAATTTCGTTTCTAACAGGGCAATTGAATCATCAGTTCGTGATGGAAGATCCAACACATGAACTGGATAATATCACATAGAAGAAAACAGCAGTCATATAAAAAATGTCAAAAAATTCTGAATTGGATTCTGTTGGCACAGTTCTTTGGCTACAGCAGGCTGATGCACTGAATACCTTTACAAAGATGTGGTACCATGTCTTCCTATGGGCCTTGTTTTCCTCAATCTTAGTTCATACAGTAAGTTTTCTATAGTATATTCGGTATTGTCTGAGAGTGAAAGAATTTCAAGAATGCAAACATGCGAGTACATCAAAGAAAGCAACATAGTTGTCTCAAGCAAGTGGTACTGCAATTCATTCACAAAGTCATTGATATATTTCTACTCACTATGCCCCTTGAGGACGCCGCTAACGAGCCATTGAAATAGTGACTTTCGACAAACAACATCAAAAGAGGGGGCCGACAGTTTTTCTAATATTGCGTTAAAGATAGTATTAATAGGCAATAGACTGGAGGTATTAATATAAATTTATTTTTGAAATAGTTATTTAGGATCCTTACCTTCTACAGATCTATAAAATAATCAGAATATTAAATTTAAGAGGTCAGAAA